AGCGAAATGCAGAATCTTTAATGATAAGTCACTGTTTAGTTTATAAGCGCTTGGTAATCTGATGCCGTGGTACTTGGAGAGCTTGGGGTCATTGGAGAGCTTGATAACTAAGTGAATGGACTAAACATACTATAATTTAAAGTTCACGCTGGTCGCGCCTCTATTTACCACATTCGTTTCTTTTTGAGACGCACGAGTGAGAAAGGTGTGAGGGTCTTATCAACCGTGTGAGGGTTTTATCACTTCCTGGCTACAGGTAGACTCTTCAGGTATTTGAAGACAAAAATGTGTAAGTTATATGCAACCTAATTACGCCAAAGATTAGTTGATTCTGAATATTATTGGTGCTGATCGCTATAAGGTGCGCTGGTTCTTTTGATTTTTAATACCAAAAACGTATGTTACTAAAAAGACCTTGAGATTTTTGGCCGTGAATCTGTTACAGCTTTGTACTCATAAAAAAGTAACCTTAAATTATGGCTTCATACGTTTTTATTACTCATTTTGTAGGCTGCTTTTAATTTCCTTCTAAAGAACAAAAAAGGGCTGGGGTTCTGCACAGCATCGCTGCCGGCCACGTTAAAATGTGCGAGCGTTTCTACGTTTCTACGTTTCTTTTGTTAAGGTCATCTTACGATGATTAAATTGAAAATCACCTTTTGTTTCTCGCTCAGTCCTTGGTCGTACCAGAAACGAGCTTTCCTTGCTTCTCTGTACCCAGCCAAAGGCAACATTTAGCCTCGGTAGATGTTCGCTCCTTTTCAGACAGGTCTTCTTTTGTCCGCTACTTCTCTTTTGAGTGATCATAAGGAGCACGGGGCCACTTTCAGAAAGCATATGACTTCTAGCATAGAATCGCGTTCAAAGGTTCGCCCTCGGATGGAAGCTATGTAATACCTGCACAACGACAGAGAGGAGTGCGAGTTCTTTGTGATCGATTGCGCCTCGGCCACGGCAGCCCTTGTGCAGCAGGAGCGGAAGTCGAAGCTACGTCCGCTCGCTGTACTATCACCTTCCACAGTGTTGGTTCACGAAAAGAATCTCATGACATTTCCTTGCTTTCACAAACGTCACCCACTTGGCGCAGTCCTTGAGCATGTGGCTCGGAACCTTGGGGTCTTGAGTTCTATTATCCTGGGGGGACGTTCGGACTTTTGCTCCTTATTCTCAATTTACGAATCCATCACTCTCACGCACATGAATTTTCTTTTAGTTTCGCACGGCACAATTTTCCTCCGAAAGGGAAGGAGGGGGGGGGGGGGTGTTCTGAAACAAATATTTTATCATTCAATACTCATTTATTCTATCGATTGAGCAATACTTTTTACTTTGTACATGGTGATTATAGCAGTAGGAGGGGAAACACGTTCCAAATTTCTATACACAAACAAATGAATAAGCACACCAACACGAGTGCAAGTTGTAAAATAGGACTTGGTACAATCCCTGAGAGTATTAAAACAAAAAGGAGTGACCGAAATACGCTTAATGCTCAGGTACAACGCACGGTCGCCTCTCCGATTTTTCTCTAAGGCGGCCACATTTTCTATGCGCGCTAAATATCAACTCAATATCATTGTATACTCAGAAAAAAATACGTAAGATAATCTTATAACAACGCGTTTTATGAGTCATAAGCAAGGAGATAAATATCAAGGGAATAAATGAGCAGATACGCATCGAACTGGCCAACGAGCACGCGTATGAATTTTTGTTGTCGCCCGGCTTAAAATTTCAATTTCGAGTCGGCGTGCGGAGTAATCCTTTGAAGTGACGCACCACCAGGCTGTTTCTGGCAAAAAACTTGAGTTCGCTGCAGCTGCGACCAGACGCTCCTAAATCCCCTTGTGCGCAGTCCTGTATGAGAGCGTTTGAGCTCGTTTCACTGCGTTGCGTCCAGAAAAAAAATCGAGTCACCGGCACACCTGTGCTTCGAATGAAGTGTGGAACCCAGTTCAAGCAATAGCTTGGCACGCGTCATAAAAAGCGAGGATGTTCTGGTTTGTCGCAGCTGCAACGCAGTCGAACGCACTCAAACGCTCTGAAACGCAACTGTGCGTGGGGTTGCGTCCTGCGTTTTATAATTCTGACGTCAGGGGAGGAATTGGTATTGGAACACGGGAGCGGGTAGTCATTTGTCGACAGTATACGCTGTTGGACAGTTGTGAATGATGGTCGTTATCATCACTTTGCGCTTAGTTGTACTCTAGTCACTTCTTTTTGTCTATACGGTCTCCCGAGAGGTCACTGCCTTTCTAGACTGAGCTTCATACTACCTTTTAGTGACTTGGCATATGCGTGAGGCCCGAAAAGTCAAGGATGATAGTTTTAGTTTTAGCACTCCTTGAAATTGACTACTTGGAGAGAAACCGAAGGAGAGGGTAAAATGTGAAAGCGTACGGCGATGTCAAAAGAGCCAAAGACGTTAAGACTAGGTGTTTTTCGCTGTACCCACAGTCCTCCTCCCGTCAGAGCGAACAAGAGCGTACTCTGCTACTCGCACAGGGCCTGATGCTCAGCATTCGGGGTTCGAACGCCGTACCCTGAGCGAGAGGAGAACAGTACGGTCTTGTTCACTTTGTTTGCAGGGAGTCTGTGGGATGAGACAACGGCACCTTGACTATCCGCGTATCCGCTATTCTCCCAAGAAGAACTCGGCGCTGCCCGGTCACCACACGCTCTTATCTCCCCCCCCCCCCCTCTCCTTCAGTGTCTCTCCGCATAATATATTCGAAGAATGAAGCTCCATGCACGTAGTTAAGAATTAAATATACGTATACGGTCTGCGTTCGGATAGCCTTCTTGACGGATGTTGTCTAGTCTTACGGACGCGACGTTCAAGCTATGCAAGGACACACAGACTGCATGAAACTGGAACCGCGACAGAAGATAATGGGCGCACGTTACTGGCGTTGCTTGTTTATAAGTTGTATATATTCCATTTAAAATTTTGCCTTCTCAAGTCATTGACAACTTGAGAAAAGCAAGGAGCGCCGTGCCCCGAGCGTTATTTAATCGTTACGCAGCCACTGAAATTAAGAAAAAATGTACTAAAATAACACCAAACAAAAACAAACAAAGCACTAACGCTACCCGTAAGCTAAAACACTGCGACAGCTGAGGTGGGACCTCGGAGCCGATAAGGAGTCATCTCGAAGCAGATAGACTGAATGAGTGGTAAAGGTGCGAGAGCGCACCATAGAGTCCGATGGGCTTTTCGCGTATTAAACCGAGTAACACACCTGACGAAAATTCTATAGCGTTTTGGAACCAACGTGAATGTAGAGAGCATTTCGTGAACCTGTTAAACAATCTTGTTAAACACAAACTAAAACTCCGTGATGATATTAAAAAAAAAAAAAAAAAAAAACACTTCGAAATTGGCGCGCCCAAGTTTCAAATCCAGTGAACGACAAAACTGCTTCTCAAAATCAAATCAAATCAAATCAAAGCTTTATTTTACAGAAACACTGGGAGGAGTTTCAGAAAAGAAGCTGTCGAGACAGCTTAACTGGGTCTGGGACCTTTATTACATTGGCAGCAGCTTGGTAGTGACACACTCTACTAGCGTAACATTTTATGAAGCAATAAATAAATAAAAAATCAGAACTTTGTAAAAAAGTATAACATTAGGTCAGGAAACAACGAAGATATAAGAGCGCAGATCTCGTTTGCTAATCGTGTGTATGTTTATGTTGTCTGTGAGGCATTTATATAAAACGGTACATTATAATGTAAAGTTTGTAAGTTGTACTTCGTGCGGGAACAAGGGAGGACCCATGCTTCTGTGTGGCGTATGTTGACATCACTGCTATGCCTAACAAACTCAGAAATAGTGAATAAGAAAGCAATGAACAGTTTGTATGAGAAACGAATGGAACAAAGCAAACAATACTCATACATCCGTTCTACCGAAATTATTTGATATCTTAAAAATAACGATTCTGTGTGGTATGTGTAGGAAACATCTGCAATATATCGTACTATTTCCTTTTGTAGTAATAGTATGTTTTTAAAGTTTGTTTTTGTTGTAGTAGCCCATAAAAGGTGACAATAACTTGAGGGGGATTGAAATAATGTGTAATAAATTTTAAGTTCAATGTTGAGTGCGACGAGAAACAGTACCAACGACCCGAGAGAGTTTAGCTATCAAATAATTTATATGACAATCTCGCGTCATATGCTCCATAAACAAATACGCCTAAAGTTTTATGCTGGTTGCCTATTTCGATTAATAAAGTACCTAGTGATAGGGTGTAATTTACTGAAATGGGTTGATTTTTTGATCTGAATAAGATTGCTTTAGGTTTCATTGTATTTACTTTAAAGCCGTTAGTATAAAACCACAATGCAAATTCGGTAAGAGTAGAATTGGTTTAGCACAAGAATCTATCAACATTGGCCGCAGAGAAAACAAAATACTCGCATTGTCTGCATATATAACGAACTGCACTTGGTTATCAATGTTCACTAGGTCGTTGTAGATGTTAAATAGAAAAGGTTCAAGTATGCTTTTTTGCGGTACACCTCAAATAAAATTTTGGAAAGAAGAGAAAAAACCGTCAAAAGCTACACTTTGTTTCCTATTTGGTAGATACGAGACAAGTAAGTCAAGTGGTACACCGCGGGCGCCACATCAACTATGTTTTAAAAGTAGTACTGTGCAATTTAGGACATCAAACGCTTAGCTGAAATCAATGAACACACCTAGAGTAATCAACTTTTTTGTATATTTTGTAATCTAATTTCCTTTTGATATAACAAGGTGGCTTCTGTCGTATCTGCGTGTGTATGATAACAGCATGCCATGAAGTATGCACTTTTATGTATGACGTCAGTGTGCTGTGCGCCTGCGTCCGGTGTATCTTGTCTGTATATATTGAGCTCCGATCTGATGTACCACTAGTTGTTGGTCCCGAGGCTGCCTGTGTTGCACTTCGCAATAAAGTGCTTTGCCAGACTTGCATCCCGGCCACTAAATGTAACAATTGGCGACGAGGATGGCTGAAGAAGCCAAGGAACAGAAGATGACCGCAACTATCGGGAAGCCACCGGAGTTCCAGGCGGACAGCGGAAACTTCGAGATTTATCTGGAACGCTTCGAGCTGTTCGTCGCAGCCAATGACATCGCAGAAGAAAAGAAACTGCAAGTCTTCTTGACGGCTATCGGTGAAAAAGCTTACACCGTCCTCCGGAGCCTGCTTCTGCCGAAGACGCCGAACAAGGTATCGTACCAGGAAGCTGTCAGCATCCTTCAAAAACACTACGCACCTAGACGTTCATTGGTCACAGAGCGCTTCCGTTTCAATCGACGAAACCAAGGGCCTCACGAGACCGTGACTGACTTCGCCGTCGAACTGAAGAAGCTCGCAGCGACATGTGAGTTCGGCGCTTTCCTCGAGGAAGCTCTACGCGACAGACTCATAGCGGGTCTGCACGCCGACACCATACGCTGTCGTCTTCTCGCAATGCCCGACACAGAACTCACCTGGGACCGTGCATGCAGCATAGCTACGGCCATGGAAACGGCGGCTCAAGACACAAAGGAAATGCTGACGTCAAGCAACGCGGGACAATCTTCGAACGCCGCGGACGTCAACTGGCAACAAGCACCGGCACCTCCGCGTCGGACAGCGACGACGAACGCGCCGACCAAGTCAAGGGGGCACGGAAAAAAAGCAACGAAAGCTGTGGATCAAAGGACTAAAAAACCGTGTCACCGGTGTGGAGAACAACACTTACCTGTAAGTTGTCCTTTTCTGAACAGCGCTTGTTATAAGTGGGCTAAAAAGGGACATGTTGCAAAGATGTGTAAAACAAAAGTTGTGCAACACGTAGCCGAGGGCGAGTGTGACAGCGAATTGCTCTCGTTGTGTCACACGAACCAGAGTTCGCGCACGCCTGCCATTGTAATTACAGTCTTGTTAAATGGTAAGAAAGTTCCGATGGAACTAGATACGGGTGCCGCAGTGTCGGTAATGTCCGAAACGGAGTGCACAAAGCACCTTCCTCATGCAAGCTTTAGGAAAGCGGACGTCAAACTCGTGACATACAATGGCACGCCTGTCGCGATAAAAGGAATTGTGGACGTGGAAGTTCGATACCATGATCAATGCTTTCGATTGCCACTGGTTATCGCAAAAGAAACTGAAGGCGCAAGAATGCCTACGTTATTTGGCCGAGACTGGCTCAGCAAAATAAAAATCAGATGGCATGAAGTCGTGCAAGTGAAGGCCTTGACCGCGGAAACGATACCGTTGACTGAAAAGTATCGCCACGTGTTTCAGCCAGGGTACGGAGAGATAAAGGGTTTTAAGGCTAGCATTTGTATGAAAGAAAACTCCGGCCCGGTGTTCTGTAAGGCGCGTCCAGTGCCATACGCTTTGCGCGAGCAGGTCGAGCAGGAATTGGCAAAATTAGAAAAAGCTGGAGTCGTGTACCGGGTAAGGCACAGTGAATGGGCTACGCCCCTCGTAATCGTGCCGAAAAAGAACAGCAAAGAGCTTAGGATCTGCGGTGATTATCGAGTCACTGTTAACCCTTGCATGGAAGTTGACCAGTACCCTTTGCCGCTGCCCGAGGACATTTTTGCCACCCTACGTGGTGTAACCGTGTTTTCGGTCCTTGACCTCTCGAAGGCGTATTTACAGCTCGAACTAGACGAGCGAGCACAAGAACTGCTTACTGTCAACACTCATTTGGGCCTATTTAGGTTCAAGCGCTTGCCATATGGCGTAGCGTGTGCGCCGGCACTTTTTCAAGCCGTCATGGATCAAGTCCTGCACGGTCTGCCGGGAACCGCCTGCTATTTAGATGACGTTGTTATCGCCGGAGAGACACGTAAACAGTGTCATGACAGACTTGAGCAAGTGCTCATACGCCTAAGTCAGCACGGCATAAAGGTCAACGCTGAAAAATGCAAGCTATTTCAACAAAGAGTGAAGTATCTGGGGCACGAAATTGACAAAGATGGGTTGCACCCCACGGCAGAGAAAGTAGAAGCCATAAAAACGCGCCAAAACCGGCTAACGTGACTCAGCTGAAAGCTTTTTTGGGCTTGGTAAATTTCTATGCGAAATTTTTACCTAGTCTAGCTACAGTGCTAGAACCGCTGCATGATCTGCTGCGCAGGGAGACGAAATGGCACTGGTCACGTCAGTGTGACAACGCGTTTAAAACTTGTAAAGAAATGCTGACTGATGAAAGTGTTCTCCAGCTGTATGACGTCACGAAAGATATTCAGCTAACGTGTGACGCGTCAGAATATGGCCTTGGGGTTGTCTTGGCACATATTGTGAACGGTGAAGAGAAACCAATAGCATTTGCGTCGCGATCACTTTCAACATCTGAGCGTAATTACAGCCAGATAGAAAAAGAAGCCCTGAGCATTGTGTTCGGCATAAAGAAGTTTCATAAGTACCTGTACGGGCGAACTTTTAACGTGATGACAGATCACCAACCGCTGACGATATTGTTTGACCCTAAGAGACAGGGAAGCGCTGTTGCCACGGCAAGAGTGCACCGATGGCTGACCTTTTTGGCCGATTACCGTTACAAAGTAACGCACAAACCCGGAACGTCTATCGGCCACGCTGATGCTTTGTCGCGACTGCCACTTGCAGACACTGAGGAACACGCGGAAGATATTTTTTATTTTTCTCCGGTCAGTGATCTGCCACTCACTGCAAAAGACATCGAGCGTGAAACAGCCCGCGACGACCAATTAAGGGTTGTTCGCAACATGATATGGTCTGGATGGCCTAAAAGTGTGCCTGACGAACTGCAGCCATTTTGGTCACGACGTCTGGAACTCTACATTGACGACGGTTGTATTATCTGGACAAACAGAATTGTCGTTCCAAAATCCCTGCAGAATGTTGTTCTAGGTTTACTGCATGAACAACATCTCGGAATAACAAAAATGAACGCTGTGGCAAGGTCAATGGTCTGGTGGCCTGGTATAGACGAAACACTCGAGCAAACAGTACGGAAGTGTAAAATTTGTCAAAGTGTCCTGCCCGCAGCACAGCCTGCACCGTTGTCACCATGGAAGCTCTGTGAAAATCCATGGGAAAGAGTACACTTGGATTTTGCCGAGAAGGAAGGAAAGACGTTTCTTGTGGCGATTGATACTTTCTCCAAGTGGTTGGAAGTCAAGATAATGCACTCGACGACCGCATACAATACAGTTGAAACTGTCCGTTCTTTATTTGCATCGCATGGGTTGCCGATGGAAGTAGTGACTGATAATGGTCCGCAGTTCCGAGCCTCAGAATTTCGAGACTTTTTGAAAGCTAACGGTGTCAAGCACACGCTCACGCCGCCTTATCACCCGCAATCGAACGGGGCGGCAGAGCGTGCTGTACAAACAACAAAGAAAGCACTGCTGAAACAGTTGCTCGATGACAAAGAAAAAGGAAATACTAGGTCACTACAACATAGAATTGACAATTTTGTGTTTTCATATCGCACAACGCCGCACACGTTCACGGGAAAGACACCCGCAGAACTGTTCCTTAGACGGAAACTGCGAACTCGCTTATCGTTGCTACGGCCAAATATAAAAAGTGCGATGATTGAGAAAACTGAAAAAGTAAAAATGTGTGCCGATAAGCGTAGATCTAAGCCGAGATCTTTTGGGGTGGGCGACCGTGTACTTGTACGTTCTTTGCGTGGTGATGTGGTCAAATGGTTTCCCGGTAAAGTGGTTAACGTGAAGTCGCCATCCACATACTTGGTTGTCGTCGGAAACAAAGTAAGGTTTGTGCACGCTGATCATTTGCGACGATCGTCCATTGAAAGTTCGGAGCAGCCGGAAGGCAGTCCCGAGTTAGACATGCCGCATGCCGCAGACATAGTCGCTACACCTGCTGCTAGTAACCACAGCGGTGATCTGCCTGCACAGCCTGCACGTCACCCAAGTGTTATGCCTACCAGTAAGGAACCTCCTTGTGTCATACGGAGGAGCACGAGAGACAGGCGACCTCCTGATCGCTTCCGGTTTGATAATTTTCAATAGGAGTGTTTTGAATAATAGTTGGGGAGGGAGTGTCGTATCTGCGTGTGTATGATAACAGCATGCCATGAAGTATGCACTTTTATGTATGACGTCAGTGTGCTGTGCGCCTGCGTCCGGTGTATCTTATCTGTATATATTGAGCTCCGATCTGATGTACCACTAGTTGTTGGTCCCGAGGCTGCCTGTGTTGCACTTCGCAATAAAGTGCTTTGCCAGACTTGCATCCCGGCCCCTAAATGTAACAGCTTCCGTAGATCTTCCACTACGAAAGCCGAACTAATAGTCTGGTAAAATAGAATGTTTACAAAAAAAGTGATCGAGGCGCGTAAGAATAATATTTTCGTGTACCTTAGAGAAGACAGGTAACACACATATTGGCCTATAGTTATTTATAACATGCTTATCGCCTCCTTCACGTACAACAGTGACTTTGAAGAACTTTGTGTTTGCGGGAAACTGACCAGATGATAATAATAAGTTGTGTATGTATGCATGAACCTTTCCTTGTCTTTGGTGTAGCTGCCTGAAGATCTTATGCAATGTTGTTAGACACAAACTAACCCAGCCTTGTGGTCACTGAAAAACCCTTCAAAGAATCGCCTACTAAAATTTCGAGCGTGTAGCTCCACCTAATTTCACGCCCGCGGTTTCGACGGCTTAAAACCCACGGAGCTTTTCTGGTTTTATCGCCCGAGAACCTTTCTGGGCATAATTAAAGAAAATACTTTGTTTTACTGTTTCCATTACCAGCAGTCTCATGTTTGTGTTTCTACGTGCCATCATGGTGTCACCTGACGTGTTCATGTCACGGGATGTCACAGTGTCACGTGACTTTCAAGACACCCCGTGACTCACAGTGTCACCTGACGTCATCAAGTCGCGTGGCGTTACTGTGAACATTACTTAACATGACAACGTTACGTCAGGGTGTCAGCTGACGCCAGGTAACAGGTGAGATTTTACGCGGCTTGACGTAAGTGTGGAGTCTTTTAACGGAATGCTGAAAATGGCACACGTCAATATGGAGCACGGTCAACGGCGCGAAACCCTCGAGGTATCCCACTAACTGCTATCGCAGCGAAATTACGAAACCAGAAATGATAACATAATAATGGCCAGTTCACACATGCAGCGGAGCGCTCCAACCATAGTGCTGACCTCGCGCTTAGCGCGTGCTGACGGCAGCGCTCAGCAGGTTTGTATCGCACCGTCTAAACTCTTGCTCATGGCAGACGATAAGTAGCTGACGACACGTGAGCAGCGCTACATCAGCGCTTTGTGCATGTCAGAACCGGCCTTTAGTCATTCCTTGCGCTCCTTCAACTGTCAGTGAATACATACTTCGGTGACTTCGGTCCAACCTAACTCAGATCGCGGTTGACGCCATGTGCCCATAGAGTCAATCAAGCTGCGGCAAGCACGCAATCCCGCGGCGTTGGATATCCTTTTGTGCGAGGGGATATTTTCGGGAAAAAAACATCATGCGCAACACATGAGCAACGGCTTTGCTGATTTAGCCTGTGCGTACGCGTTTGGCGTGTCTCCTAAAGTCACTGACAGCTTAAGAACTGCAAGGTGTGGCTTACTTTTCGATGTTTTTTTTTTTGCTTTGTGATGTGTACTTTAGTGTTTTATCCGCCAATAACGTAATCTCATTGGCAGCAAAGAAATCATAAGATAATCTAGTCAGCGACTGTGTTATTAAATTGCGCTCTTAGTTAAGGTGAAAGAAAGTACAGAAGTACAGTAAACAATGGAGACACCCAGTATAGAGGCGGCACAAAAGGCTCGGTCTTAGTTTCAACGGTACAAAAGTTAGTAAGTCGATACCTAGATTTTCACTATCACTTTCCGTCATTGTATTTTAAGATGAAGAGTGTTGTTGATCTTTGGAGGGATTTATTACCGTAATCGCTCGGACGAAGGCATGAGTCAAGTCTGACGCGCGTCCGAGCGGTCACGGTATCGAATCCCTCCAAAAACCAACAACAATCTACATGTTCAATTGGTGAAGGTTGGCGAGGGATCCTCTCTCAAGACCCACTTGCAATCTCCCGGTTCACCAGGCACGTCCCTGCCACTCTGGAGCTCCGCAGCCAAGTCATCCTCCCAACTATGGCCAGCGCCCCTACCATGACACATCCAGACCCCAATTCAGCTAGGGGACAGGTGACCGCGCGACCACTTGTTTGACCCTGTGTCTTTCGCCAGCGAGACCCCAAAATATTCTCCGGAGCTGATGATGACGCTGCAGAAGACTGGCTGGACTCATACGACATAGTTAGTCGGCACAATAAATGTGACGATAACGCCAAGTTAACTAAAATCGTTTTTTTGCCTATCTAATGTCTATGACTTGCGGTTAAAAAAAAACAAAAAAACATAAAACTCGTTTAGCAGCGGGGGAAGATTTCACAACTAAAATAAAAGAAGTTCTTCGGAACATTGAAATTGGCCCATGCAGAACATACCTGGGGAAATAAAGTAGCAACGTAAGCCCGAAAAGGAGCAAAACATTACAGAACTGTCTTCAAACGTTCATCGGATGGAATGGCATTTGTTTAGTTTTCACTAGTTACCTTCATCTCGGGATGTTACGTACGTACTGTGGTCCCCCAACCATCTGCTTGGCGCGTAGTGACGTTCCAACGGTACGTGAGGTTATCCAGGAACTGATCGCGGACGTGAGGTTGGTTTAGTATTTTCTGATATTGTCATGGGTGATGACCAAGACAAAACAGGAAATAAACAAGAAGAAATAAACGTTTAATGTGGCGAACTTGTGCCAAAAATAAAAGTGTACAAAAGATAATAATAGAGCGTCGCGGGCGTCGAAGTCGGCGTGGCAGCATAGTCGAACGCTTGGCGAGACTGACTCGACAAGGTCGCGGGCGGCCTCTTATCTAGAGTGCGTCGCTATCTCGAAGATTTGGCGAAAGCGGTTCGAGCGTCGCGTGGTCGGGGCGAGAATGAACACACACTTTCTAGAAAACAAAAGCAGGGATAAATGATAGAAGTTACGTGCGGTACATGAATAAACGGGAACTTTCTGGAGGACCGTGACCGAGCGTTGCTTTCTCAGCCTTGCTCGCGGCATTACTCCCCCCTTTAAAAGTGCATCGCCCCGATGCAGTGTAAAACAAATCAAAATAAAAAAGAACGATAAACTAAAGAGTCTTTTGGAGCACAAAAGGTCCACAGTCCTATCGAGCGTAGTACGGCTTCAGGCGCACGACGTGGACGACCTCAGGTCGTGGTGGGTGGCGTGACGATGTTCGTGTTCCGTCGGGCATCACCTCGTAGTTCAGCTCGCCGAGGCGACGAAGTACCTTGTATGGTCCAAAGTACCGTTTCAGCAGTTTCTCACTGAGGCCGCGGCGACGGATGGGCGTCCAAATCCACACCCTGTCTCCGGGCTGAAAGTGGACGTCCCTGCGACGAAGGTTGTAGCGGCCCGCGTCGACGTGTTCCTGGTCTTGAATACGGTGTCTGGCGAGCTGGCGGACTTCTTCGGCCCGTTGAGTAACCACCTGGGCGTCGTCGCTCTCACTGTCAGCTGGCTCATGGGGTAGCATCGCGTCCAGCATGGTCGTTACTTTGCGCCCATGCGCCAGTTGAAAGGGTGTCACTCCGGTGGTCTCTTGTACAGCCGTGTTGTAGGCAAATGTGATGTACGGCAACACCTCGTCCCATGTCTTGTGCTCCGCGTCGACGTACATGGAGATCATGTCGGCGATGGTTTTGTTGAGTCTTTCCGTCAGCCCGTTGGTCTGCGGGTGGTACGCCGTGGTGCGACGATGGCTGGTGTGGATGAGACGAAGGACTTCTTGCGTCAGCTGGGCCATGAATGATGATCCACGGTCCGAGATCAGGACTTCGGGAGCGCCGTGCCGGAGGACAATGGACTCGATGAAAAACTTGGCGACTTCAACAGCCGTTCCTGATGGAAGGGCTTTTGTCTCGGCGTACCGCGTGAGATAATCGGTTGCGACGATTATCCATCGGTTTCCTTGCGTCGACGGTGGGAAAGGTCCGAGTAAATTCATACCGATTTGCTGGAATGGGGCAGATGGCGGCGCAATAGGCTAATGAAGTCCTGCCGGTCTCGTCGGTGGCTTCTTCCGTCGTTGACACTCGTGGCAAGATCGGGTGTAGTGGTCTTCGCAAGCTTGGGCCTGTAGTACTTTTCGCGTATCTTCGCAAGAGTCCTGCTGTAACCAAGGTGTCCCGCCGTCGGGTCATCGTGGCAGGCTTGAAAAATTTCTTCTCGAAGACTGGAAGGGATCACCAACAGCCACGCCGTGTTGTTGTCGCTGAAGTTCTCCTTGTACAGTACGCCTTGTCGGATGGAGAAGGTTGGCAGTGTTCGTACAAAACCGCGGGGGACGGCGCTTCCTTGTCCCTCTAGGTGCTCGATGAGTGCTCGTAGCTCAGTGTCGTCTCGTTGGAGTGCTGCCATGTCGCTGACATCCAGAGCGCCGAGGAAACACTCATTGTCGTCCTCTTTGGTGCAGGCAGGACCGGCCTCGACTGGGGCCCTTGACAGGCAGTCAGCGTCATTGTGCTTCTGGCCGGACTTGTACACCACGGTCATGTCGAACTCCTGCAGTCGTAGGCTCCACCGAGCGAGGCGACCGGAGGGGTCCTTCAGATTCGCTAGCCAGCAGAGCGAGTGGTGGTCTGTGACCACGCGAAAAGAACTTCCATACAAATATGGGCGAAACTTTTTATTGCCCATACGACAGCAAGGCACTCCTTTTCGGTCGTTGAATAGTTCCTCTCCGCGTTAGACAGCGTCCGACTTGCGTATGCGATAACTCGCTCGGCTCCGTCCTGCACTTGGACTAGTACCGCACCCAGTCCGGTGTTACTGGCGTCGGTGTGGATCTCGGTTTCAGCAAACTGGTCGAAATGGCCAAGAATCGGGGGCGTCTGGAGTCTTCGTTTGAGCTCGTCGAATGACCTCTGGTGTTCTTCTGTCCACTCGAACTTTACGGCGTCCTTCGTGAGGTGTGTCAGCTGTGCAGATAGCTTGGCGAAGTCTCGAACAAAGCGCCTGTAGTAGGCACAGAGTCCAAGAAATCTTCTCACGGCCTTCTTGTCACACGGCGGCGTAAATGCAAATACGGCGCGGGTCTTCTCGGGGTCAGGTAGAACACCCTTGTTGTTCACGACGTGGCCAAGGAACTTTAGTTCCCCATAGGCGAACCGACACTTCGTTGGCTTGAGTGACAGGCCGGCGGTCTTGATGGCTTGAAGCACGGCTCGAAGTCGTCTGAGGTGTTCGTCGAAATCTCGTGAGAATACCACGACATCGTTCAGGTAGACGAGGCAGCTCTGCCATTTCAGACCTGCCAGCACGGTGTCCATGACGCGCTGGAACGTGGCTGGTGCTGTACAAAGTCCGAACGGCATCACTTTGAATTCGTATAGTCCGTCGGGAGTGACGAAGGCAGTTTTCTCCCGGTCACGTTCGTCGACTTCAATCTGCCAATAACCACTCTTCAGGTCCATCGACGAAAAATATCGGGAGTGGCGCAGTCGGTCTAACGTATCGTCGATGCGGGGGAGCGGATAGACGTCCTTCTTTGTCACGGCGTTCAGTCGACGATAGTCCACGCAGAACCGCAGGGTTCCGTCCTTCTTCTTTACAAGGACGACTGGGGACGCCCATGGGCTCCTTGAGGGTTGAATGATGTCGTCGTCGAGCATCTCCTGGACTTGATCTTGAATCACTTCCCTTTCCTTTAAGGAGACTCGATACGGCGACTGGTGGACAGGAAGTGAGTCGTCGTCGGTAACAATGCGATGTTTCGCCATTGGTGTTTGGCGAATCTTCGATGTCGTGGCAAAACAGTCACTGTATTCGGCAAGGAGATCAACCAGTTGCCGGCGCTTCGTAGCTGGGAGTTCGGGGTCGATGTCGAGCGGCGGCGGCGTCGTGCTCTTCTGCTGTGGCGACGAGGTTTCCTCGGAGATTGCGGTGACCACCGCTGGCGCCTGAAGCTCCTCGACGTGGCCCACGGTGGTACCCTTCGTTAGGTGCTGCGGCTCCTCTCGAAAGTTCGTCACAAGAACAGTTGTACGTCTTTCTTGGAGATCCGTTACGCCTCTTGCGACACCAATTCCTTTTTCGAGGAGCAGTTGGACGCTGCCTTCCAGAAGAGCTTTACCGTTCATGGCTGTGTCGGCTATAACGGTGACGAAAACACTCGACCGCGGCGGTAGGTTCACATGGTCGGCGATAACTCGGATCGTGGTTGATGTCGTGTTGGTCTCCACCGGCGGTAAAACAGGTTTTCGCAGCGTCAACTGGTTTGCCCCGAGGTCGATGACGGCGCCATACTCGCAGAGAAAGTCCATTCCGAGGATAACGTCCCTCGAACAGTCTTGCAGAACGACGAACTTCACAGGGCACGTTTCACCGTGGATCTCGATGCGAGCAGTGCATCTCCCGACTGGCGTGATGAGATGTCCTCCGGCGGTTCGTATTTGGGGTCCATCCCACGGCGTCATGACTTTTCGCAGGCGGCGAGAGAGCCTCCCACTCAAGACTGAGTAGTCTGCTCCGGTGTCCACGAGTGCCGATGAGTCGAGGCCGTCGATAACAACGTTTAAGTTGTAGGGGACACCGAAGCAGGAGCGTCTTTGTGATGCGTAGCGTCGGGAGAGTGGGAGCGCTCCGTCGTTCGTGGAGGCTCTTTACGTCGGTCGTCTTCGGCAACTCCACCTCCAGGGGTTGCCGCGCCTAGTTTCCCCGGCGTGGAGCGAGGGTCGACAGGCTTTCACGTCGGGGTCGGTGCATCGGCGAGGCTGGACGTCGTGGCGACGGTGACCGGAACTCTCGGCGGGACGCTGGCTCAGGGGACTGAGGTCGTCGCAGGTACTCGTCGATTTCCCGAGGGCGTTCACCATAACGTGGCCGCGGGTCGTTCGGGTGGAACCCGCGCAACCCGAGTCGTCGGTACGGGCATCGGCGGTAAGTGTGGTCTGCTTCCCCGCAGTGGAAGCACGGGGGGCGTCGATCGGGCGTCCTCCACACGTCTGTTTTTCTGGGTGCGGGCTGTTCCGGACGGACGTACGGGACCCGCTCTTCTGGTCGTCGGAGGTAGTGTAGCGTTGGGGCGTCTCGTCGAGGCGGCGGCGTGTATTGGTGAGCAGCCGGTGGTGGTCGTCGCGCCACTGAAGCGTAGGTTACCACCGGTTCTTCTGG